AGTTACCTAGTTATTCTCTCACCCTCTTCCTTCCTCCCTCTCTTTTCTCCCCCTTTTCCCCTCCTTGTTCTCTCCCTTCCTCATTCCCTCCCCTCCTCACTAACCCCTCCTCACTGCCCCTCCTCACTGCCCCTCCTCACTGCCTCCCTCCTCACTACACCCCTCCTCACTACCCCCTCCTCACTGCCCCTCCTCACTGCTCCTCCTCACTGCCCCTTCTCACTACACCCCTCCTCACTGCCCCTTCCTCACTGCCCCTCATCACTACACCTCCTCACTGCTCCTCCTCACTGCCCTTCCTCACTGCCCCCCTTCACCTCAGAGTACCAGCAGGGCTTCCACGAGATGGTGATGCTTTTCCAGTTGATGGTGGAACATGATCACGAAACCTTCTGGCTTTTCCAATTCTTTCTGCAGAAAACGGTAAGGGCTGGGCCTGCGCTCAGGGACCACTGCCCCCTCCCAATTCTCCAAACAACCCCTTGAGGTTAGGCAGGCATTGGCAGCCCCGGCCATTTCCTCTAGCCCTTTGGGTCCCAGAGGAACCTGGGAGGGCAACAGCAACCTCAGGGGAGTGTCTTCCAGGTGGGATGGCAAGTATTGGAGCTAAGGAGGGGGCTAGAGTGATGCTCTGGGTCCAGCTGTCACCACACCTTGCAAGGGCATGGCTGACCAGGCTCAGTGATGGCACTCTCTCCTGGCATTCCTCTCTCAAACACACTCTGCTCCCACAAATCCTCCACGGCTCCCCATGGCCTTCAGAATAAAATCCAGGAACCTCAGCCAGCCATTCAAGTCCTCCATTGCGTCTGCTCTGTCACTGCCCCTCTCACATGACCTGCACTCCAGGCTCCCTAGGGACTCGGTGTTCCCCAGATGGCACACCACACTGTCCAGGTGGAGGGCTCTTGAAGTTGCTGCTCCCTGGGAAGACTTTCTTCATGATCCGTGAGAGGCTGCCCAGAGCCCACCATCAGCCCTTTCTCCATTCCTACAACAGTGTGCTCGCTGCTCTTTGTCCTAATTGGTTCTGACCCACAGCATAATGGAGGGACGAATAACTGGCTCACTGCACTGTGAGCCACACCTGAAATATCTCTGCATCCTCACCATACACACACACACANCTCTCAGTTCTGGGAGCCAGAAGCCCAAAAGCGAGGTGCTGGCAGGGCCGCGCTCCCTCCAAAACCCCCAGGGCAGGCTCCTTCCTTGTCTCCTGGAGGTTTTGGTGGCTGCAGGCGTCCCTTGGCGTGTGGCTGCATCACTGTATGCTCTGCCTCCCTGGTCACAAGGCTTCTCCTCTTCCCTGTGTCTCTCCTCTGGGTGTCTCTTATAAGGACACTTGTCATTGGATTTAGGGCCCTCCTGGATAATTCAGGATGATCTCATCTTGAGACCCTTAACTTAATTACATTTGCAAAGGCCCTTTTTCCAAATAAGGTCACAGTCAGAGGTTCCAGGGGTTAGGACATGGACATGTCTTTTTGGGGTCACCATTCAGCCTACTATACCACCTAAGCTCATTCAATTGATGGTCACAAAACACTGCCTCATCCAGTCCTTCTAATTCTGAGGCATGGGTGCTAGTGTTATCCCACTCTACAGATGAAGAAACTGAGGCTAGGGAGAAAGTGAGGTTGCCAAGGCTTGACCCTAGTTGCAGACACCCAGTTATTAAGTTATGGAGCCAGGATTCGGGTATGGGAGTCAGACCTGTGCCCATCTGCACTCCAGGCACACAGCAGAGGATGGCTGTGCAGAGCAGAGGGCTGGCGCAGGAGGGGGCACGGCCCAGGCAGCAGGCACGGCTCAGGGTCCCCCGACGTGCCGGGAGGGAAGGCTGCCTCATTCAGCCTCAGGCCTGTTCTTACAGGAAGAACTACGAGGCCTTGTGGCAGATGTACAAGAAGATTCAGCCCCTCCTGGAAAACCTGCACCGGAACTTCCTAGAGACGCAGAATAACATCAGTAAGCAGAGGAGGGTGGGCAGGACTGCGTGGACAGGACCACTGGAGGCCATCCCTGCCCCTCCACTGTCCTGTCCAGGGTGGTGGTTCCCTGGTTCCCAGGAGCTGCCTTGACATGGGCCTGGGATTTTGCCAGCTAAACCTTGGTTAGTCCGTCCACTCACCTCCACTGGGTACCCCATAGATGCCAAGCACCATGTTTCCATGGGTACATGTTCCTTCTGGCTTGTCTTTATATCTTCCACCTCTGGTCTTGAAGTATGCTGGATTTGAATTGCATGAAGGGGGGCGCATTCCTGGCAGAGGGTAGAGCCTGGTCAAATATTTGGAAGCAAGAAAAAGCCCAGGCTGTTCAGGGTGTGGCGAGGCAAAGAGCCTGGTGGGCTGAGTTCCTTTTGAAGTCTCCTCCCCAGGCTGCCCTGGGTTGGTTGAGGGGAATAAACTCACCCATGGACCCTGGGTGCTCTAGGGTCCACCCACCTGTCCCTTGTACCCAACCTAGCATGCGATATTCAGAAACTCTGTGACAAAGACCCCCTGGGCAACGTCCTTATCGACAAGAAGAGCTTGGAGAAGATCCTGCTCCTGAGCTATGTCTGCAACCCCCGAGCAGGTGCATCCCAGCGCTGCCTCCTCTAAGCCTCCCCTCCTCAGTTCCTTCCTGGAATCCCTGCCCTGTTTTGCCCAAGCCCAAACTATGCCCCTCCTCACTGCTCCCTTCTCACTACACCCCTCCTCACTGCCCCCCTCACTGCCCCTCCTCACTGCTCCTCCTCACTACACCCCTCCTCACTACCCCCTCCTCACTGCTCCTCCTCGCTGCCTTTTCT